CGAGCGGCTGGCGGGACGCGGCGGCGGCGGGCGCGGACCATGCAGTCCCGGCCCGGCCAGTGCCGGCTTCTCGCTGTGCTGTGAGGTGGCGGGGTCCACCTCCGGCCGCCGCACCCCTCCGCCTTCCAGCCCAAGTGCTGCCCGGCGCCCTGGTCCTTCGTCCGGACCCCGGGACACCGGTGGAAGGCACGGCCTGTCCCTGCCCTGCTCCGCCCGAATCATGCAGGGGGCCCCGAAGGAAGAGAAGGCTACTGACCGGCCCGCGCCGACCGTGCTCGAGGGGCACCCTGCGCTCTGAAACGCGCCCCCACCTGCTGCCATGTGTCGCCGCCGCCACAGGTACCTAGCTTGTCCTTAAAAACTTTTTCCAGCTCTGGCCGGATTCGGAGTCGCGGGACGGAGGAGCCCGGCTGGCTGCAGACATCTGCCGCCCAGCAGGATCCTCGGAGGTGAGAGCCCGCGTATTCCCCTCATCCCAGTTCTCCCGGTTCCTCTGCCCCTTTCTCGGCGACTGAGCTCTCTGGCCCCAGGCACAGCCTGCAGGGCCGGGCCAGGAAAGGGAGGCGGGCGCGGGGAGTGGGATCGGGGGGGAGAGTCTGAAGTTTGGTTCCAGGAGGTGGGGGGCGAGGAAAGGAGTTAATCTAGAGATTGGTGACCGCGTACGGAGACCGAGTGGTTGGCGCTGCCCTAAGAGGAGTGGTTGCGATTTTTCTTCTCCCCCCTACCTTCTCTTTTAAGAGTTCTGTCCTTGGGATCTGAGCCCTAATCGTCTCTCCAGCCCTATCTGGCGTGGAGCGCTGCCGGCGGAGGCAGCGCCTTCCCGAAGCAGTTTTATCTTTGGACGGATTTCTTTAAGAGAAAAAGAAACCAACAGGTTGCCAGCCCGGGCGTCACACTCAAGATTCCGGAGAGGGAAGCCCCGGCTGCGGATTCGTCGGTCAGCGCTGACCCTCGCGGGCAGCAAGAGGCCAGGGGGAGAAGGGGGCGATGGCTCGGCCCGACCCGTCCGCGCCGCCCTCGCTGCTGCTGCTGCTGCTGGCGCAGCTGGTGGGCCGGGCAGCGGCCGCCTCCAAGGCTCCGGTGTGCCAGGAAATCACGGTGCCCATGTGCCGAGGCATAGGCTACAACCTGACGCACATGCCCAACCAGTTCAACCACGACACGCAGGACGAGGCAGGCCTGGAGGTGCACCAATTCTGGCCGCTGGTGGAGATCCACTGCTCACCGGACCTGCGCTTCTTCCTGTGCTCCATGTACACACCCATCTGCTTGCCCGACTACCACAAGCCGCTGCCACCGTGCCGCTCCGTGTGCGAGCGCGCCAAGGCCGGCTGCTCGCCTCTCATGCGCCAGTACGGCTTCGCCTGGCCGGAGCGCATGAGCTGCGACCGTCTCCCTGTGCTGGGTGGCGACGCCGAGGTTCTGTGCATGGATTATAACCGAAGTGAAGCCACCACCTTGTCCCCCAAGTCCTTCCCGGCAAAGCCCACCCTCCCAGGCCCACCAGGGGCGCCATCTTCCGGGGGTGAGTGTCCCTCGGGAGGTCCATCTGTATGCACTTGCCGTGACCCCTTCGTGCCTATCCTGAAGGAGTCACACCCTCTCTACAACAAGGTGCGCACCGGCCAGGTGCCCAACTGTGCAGTGCCCTGCTACCAGCCGTCCTTCAGCCCCGACGAGCGCACGTTCGCCACCTTCTGGATTGGCCTGTGGTCTGTGCTGTGCTTTATCTCCACATCCACCACCGTGGCCACCTTCCTCATCGACATGGAACGATTCCGCTACCCTGAGCGCCCCATCATCTTCTTGTCTGCGTGCTACCTGTGTGTGTCCCTGGGATTCCTGGTGCGCCTGGTCGTGGGCCATGCCAGCGTCGCCTGCAGCCGCGAGCACAGCCACATCCACTATGAGACTACTGGCCCTGCCCTCTGCACGGTTGTCTTCCTCCTGGTCTACTTCTTTGGCATGGCCAGCTCCATCTGGTGGGTCATCCTGTCACTCACCTGGTTCTTAGCGGCTGGCATGAAGTGGGGCAACGAAGCCATTGCGGGCTATGCCCAGTACTTCCATCTTGCTGCCTGGCTCATCCCCAGCGTCAAGTCCATTACAGCGTTGGCACTAAGCTCCGTGGACGGTGACCCGGTGGCCGGCATCTGTTATGTGGGCAACCAAAACCTGAACTCACTACGTGGCTTCGTCTTGGGCCCACTGGTGCTCTACCTGCTGGTGGGCACGCTCTTCCTGCTGGCGGGCTTCGTGTCGCTCTTCCGCATCCGGAGCGTCATCAAGCAGGGTGGCACTAAGACAGACAAGCTGGAGAAGCTCATGATCCGCATCGGCATCTTCACTCTGCTCTACACGGTGCCAGCCAGCATTGTGGTGGCCTGCTACCTGTATGAGCAGCACTACCGGGAGAGCTGGGAGGCGGCCCTCACCTGCTCGTGCCCGGGACCCGACGCTGGCCAGCCCCGCGCCAAACCCGAGTACTGGGTGCTCATGCTCAAGTACTTCATGTGCCTGGTGGTGGGCATCACGTCGGGAGTCTGGATCTGGTCCGGCAAGACCCTGGAGTCTTGGCGGCGCTTCACCAGCCGCTGCTGCTGCAGCTCAGGGCGGGGGCACAAGAGCGGGGGCGCTATGGCCGCAGGGGACTATGCGGAGGCCAGCGCCGCGCTCACCGGCAGGACCGGGCCGCCGGGCCCCGCCGCCGCCGCCGCCTACCACAAGCAAGTGTCCCTGTCGCATGTCTAGGAGGCCTGGAGGCCGAGGCCCCAGGGACAGTGCTGGAGTGGAAGGAGGGCGTTGTTTGGCTGGGTAGCTTTGTGAAGGTCACTTCCGTTTACCTTCTTGGTGCTGATGCCCCCTCCCTGAGCGGCTTGGAGAGGGGAAGGGGTCGGGTTCAAGAGAGTACCTGTCCCGCAGTCTTCAGCCAGGGGGCTCGGCTCACGTGCGGTGTTATTCTAGTTTGCATTTCTTACTGCCTTCTTTAGAAGAACCCTGTTTTTAATTTATATGTATTTTAATTTTTTTTTAACTTTGTTGCATTTTGGCAACAAAATTTACCTTTGCTTTGGGGACTTCACAACCCTCAAGCCGGCATTGTAAGGAGGTTACCCTTGGTTCAGGTTTCTTTGGACTGTGTGGTCTAAATTAGGAAAATATATTTCCTATACGTGTGTCTTTTTCTTTCTTTCTTTTCTTTTTTTTTTAAATGTGAACAGTGACAGGCTGCTGTGACTGGGAAGGTGTGGATTGTCCTTTTTTTTTTCCCAGTTAGTTTTTCCTTCCACTGCTTAAAATGTCCAGGACACTGAGAGGCCAGAGGCCATCTGCTAGTTCTGTGTATAGGCCCCTCAAGTCCTCCCCGGGAATGGAGCATGATGGTTAGGACCCATCCCCAAGTGACAAGGTTGGGGAAGCTAAAGATTTTGGGAGCCTCCTTCACCTTGCTCAGCAAGCATTGGGTCATTTTCATTCATTCCTGATAGAGCCAGCGTCACGCCTTGAATGGTAGAGGTGGCATTGTGGAGCCGGACACACACGTTTGCCATAGTGAGTGAGAGCCAGAGGGCTAGCGATGGAGTGAATGTGAGTTCTGAACCGGTGAGGTGCTGAGCTTCGGGCCAGGCAGGGAGGAATGGGTGGTTCTTAATAAGCTCCAGGGATCCCTTATTACTATTTTTAAATGTACTTGTGCTACAAATTTCAGTAAAAGTCAACCCACTCCTGTCTTCTGGAAGTACTTAGGAATCCTTGCTGAAGGGGGCTCTCTTTTAAAGGACAAAAAACGGATATGCTTCCAGTAATTAAAGTAAATTCCCATTGCTTCTTATCTGCTCCTCCCACCCCGCCTCCTTTATCATGTTAAACAGGCTTTCTTGCTTTTCTGAGTCCTCCTGGGGAGCGGTGATTAGAAGCCACACCCACCCGCCAATGGAGCGCCGCAGCTGGGGAGGGAGGCTGGTTACCTGAGAGCAAACATTGGCTCCAAGGAAGGAAAACAAGCGTCCCTGAACTCGGGGCTAGGTTAATGCCAGATAGTCCCAAAGCAGTCACACTGTGCCCTGGCAGTCGCTGGAAAAAAAAAAAAAAAAAAAGACCCATACCGTAAGCTTTGTAC